AATCTGATTAAAAAATGGGAAGAGGACCTGAATAGACATTTCTCCAAAGAAGACAAACAGATGACCATCAGGTAAATGAAAGGGTGCTCAACATCAGTAATCATCAGGGAAATGCAAATCAAAACCACAGTGAGATGTCACCTCAGACTATCAGAATGGCTATTATCAAAAAGACAACAAACAACAAGTGTTGGCACAGATGTAGAGAAAAGGGAACTCGCATACACTGTAGGTGAGAATATAAATTAGTGCAGCCACTACGGAAAACAGTATAGAGGTTCCTCAAAAAATTAAAAATAAGGCCGGCCCCGTGGCTTAGCGGTTAAGTGCTCGCCCTTCACTACTGGCAGCCCGGGTTCGGATCCCGGGCGCGTGGGTGCGCACCCACTCACTGCTTGTCCGGCCATGCTGAGGCCATGTCCCACATACAGCAACTAGAAGGATATGCAACTATGACATACAACTGTCTACTGGGGCTTTGGGGAAAAAAAAAGGAGGAGGATTGGCAATAGACGTTAGCTCAGAGCCGGTCTTCCTCAGCAAAAAGAGGAGGATTAGCATGGATGTTAGCTCAGGGCTGATCTTCCTCAAAAAAAAATAAATAAATAAATTAAAAATAGACCTACCCTATGATCCAGCAATACTACTTCTGAGTATTTATCTGAAGAAAACAAAAACACTAATTCGAAAAGATATATGCCCACGTGTTCACACGCACACACACATATACATACACACACACATATATACACAATGGGATATTATTCAGCCATAAAAAAGAATGAAATCTTGCTATCTGCAACAACATGGATGGATCTAGAGGGTATTATGCTAAGTGAAATAAGCAGACAGAGAAAGAATAGTACCATATGATTTCACTTATATATGGAATCTAAAAAACAAAACAAAACAAATGAACTAACAAACAGAAGCAGACTCATAGATACAGAGAAGAAATTGGTGGTTGCCAGAGGGGAGAGGGGTAGGGGGAAAGGCAAAATAGTGAAGGAGTTAAGAGGTACAAACTTCTAGTCATAAAATAAGTAGGTCATGGGGATGTAGTGTACAGCATAGGGAATAAAGTCAACAATATTGTAATAACTTTGTAGGATAACAGATGGTAACTAGTCATATCAGGATGATCATTTTATAAGTAAATGTCGGATCACTATATTGTATGCCTGAAACTGATACAATATTGTATGTCAACTATACTTCATTAAAAAGTAGTCCTTTTTGGGAGTTTAGAGCATCCTTATAAGTTCTAATAAAATACAAAGTGATAAAGGAACTGGGATTGTTTCTCATGGGAGATCCTATTCAAATATTGTAGTAATATCTAAGGCTTTTACTAAACTTATTTATATTTATTTATTATTTTATTAAGATTTTACTTTTTTAGAGCAATTTTAGGTTCACAGCAAAATTGAATGGAAAGTACAGAGATTTCCCATATCCGCCCTGCCACTCACATGCATACCTTTCACCATTATCAACATCCTCCACCAGAGTGGAATATGTGTTGCAGTTGATGAACCTACGTTGACGCATCATGATTACCCAAAGTCTGTAGTTTACATTACAGTTCATTCTTGGTGTTGTACATTCTATGGGTTTGGACAAATGTATAATGACACGTATGCATCATTATGATATCTTACACAGTTGTTTTCACTGCCCTAAAAATCCTCTGTGCTCTGCCTGTTCATCCCTTCCCTCCCCTCAGCCCCTGGCAACCGCTGATCTTTTTACTGTCGCCATAGTTTTGGCTTTTCCAGAGTGTCATATAGTTGGAATCATGCGTTATGTAGCTTTTTCGGATTGACTAAGCCCTTTTAAAATTGAGATATAATTCATATGCCATAAAATTCACTCCTTTAAACTGTACAGTTTAATGACATTTAGTGTATTCACAAGGTTGTATAACCATCACCACGGTCGAATCCCAGAACATTTTCATCTCTCCACAAAGAAACCCCGTACCCATTAGCAATCAATCCCCAACCCCCGTTCCCTAGCCCGTCAAAGCCACTGATCTACTTTCTGTTTCTGGATTTGCCTATTCTGGACATTTTATATAAATGGAATCATACAATATGTGGCCTTTTGTGTCTGATTACTAAGCTTTTTAAATGATGGCTTTAACTTTTTCAAAGTATGTTCATGTTTAAAAATAAATGCATAACACCTCTATGACAGGAACTTTGTGACGTAATTGCATTGTCAGATAGTTACTATGTCTTCATGACTTCAATTTACCATAGGATGAGGGAAAGGGGTTTAGAGGGGGCAGGGTGGAGATTTTGAAAAGTAGAGTTAAAGGAAAAATGTCATCATATATGAAAAATAATTCAGTCCTGTGGGATTTCTAGAACCATGAGTATTAAATGTTATTAAAGTGCAACTGCAATTAAATACTCCAATTACATTTAAGAATTTAAAATTTGAAGATGGGTTGTTGAGCCTCCAATAGTTATAGACGAAATCTCATTTCAGCAAGGTTGAAAGGATGCCAGGATTGTGCTCTTCGTTATTCCAAACTCTTTAAATGGAAGCCTGTTGCTACAGTGTGCAGAAGGGGTATGATAAATTTATTTGTTTTAATAAATTAAAGCAAGTAGTAGGTGTCTTTTCCCTTTGCTGTGATTAACTTGAGTAGAGAATTTTTGTATAATGGAAATGTAAAGCATTAATTCTTGAAAGTTGTATGTTTGAAATTAATGGTTGGTATTAGTAAAGAGTAACATTTTTCTATAAATTTTACGTGTTAAGTTTTCTATTTTAAAATATAATGTGCTTTTGGGATGCAAATTAGTCCCATCTTCACAATTGAATTTGTAGTAGTAACTATGTAGAGAAGATCAATAGGATAACAAATCACAGTAGGCTATCTTCACAGTTGTCTATCATGGCTCCTACCATTTCCTAGCACAAAGGAAGTTCTGGCTGAATTATTCTTTGCTTCCTATCTGGCTTTTTGCCCTGATCAGCTGTGCTACTGGTCTATGCGATGGTGAGGACTTCTTTTGCCTGGAAGCCTAAATAATCTGTCCCATGCTTCTTTTCCTTGGCTCCCATGCTTCATCTTGCTTGTCTTTCTTGGGAGTGCTTTCCTTGATGGTAAGAATCCCCTGATCCCTTCTATAATGTCATTCCCAAGGGAAGTAAGTTCTAAAAGGGTAAAGTTAATGGAAAAAAGAAATGAGAGGTATCCTTAGGTTTATAATAAAACTCTTGTTCCCTATTCAGTGCTTGTAATCAAATCTTTGTCTTCCTAGAAGTTCCAGCCTCATGTTAAGTGGCTTAACTATGACCTTAGTATCTCTTTTCCATTTTTTAAAAAAAATTTTATTTATTTATTTATTTATTTCCCCAAAGCCCCAGTAGATAGTTGTATGTCATAGCTGCACATCCTTCTAGTTGCTGTATATGGGACACGGCCTCAGCATGGCTGGAGAAGCGGTGCCTCGGTACGTGCCCGGGATCCGAACCCGGGCCGCCAGCAGCGGAGCGCGCGCACTTAACTGCTAAGCCACGGGGCCGGCCCTCTCTTTTCCATTTTATCCTTTCCCTACATTGAATTTTCCTGCTGGGTTGAGATGGAGGAAGTGGGGGCAGAGGGATAGAAATAGAGAGTCCTGTATGTATTGAGGTGAGGAGGAAGGCCTTGGGCAGCAACCTATGAGGGAGAGCTGTATCTGCTAAGACAGTCTGGGTGGGATTTTTATTTGTATGTATATGTTGGTGTTTTAATTTTCGTGTGTATGAATTGCTACATATAACCAAGGGTAGCTGAGTATATGCTGATTCAGAAAATAATTTGTAGTGCTGTAGCCATTTACCTATTGAATAAAATTTAAGGTCTTCTCGGGACATAAAAGCATTCATAGTTTTTAGCTTTTGTATGTCTAAGCACTTCACAATCAAGAAGCTCTTTTTATCATAGTTTTTTAAAAAGTACAATCTCTTAAAAAACCTATTATACCTTATTTTGTAAACTCATATTAAGAATGTCTAGTGTTTTATAGGTATTCAAATATGGTTATTGTTAACATTGTTTTTCATTACTGAAGTGATAGTGCCTTGTTTGAATATTATTTATGTATATTTTGTCTTTCAGCTGAATTTGTTGTATACATATCTGCTTAGGAAGTTGGTATGATTTATATATGGACATATGTATAATTCGTTGAATCTTCGAGATGGTAGGGGTCTTAAAGGTTGTTCTAGTCCTGGTTGCCAACCTAAAATGGAAACTCATCTTCAGCCAGCTCTTGACATTCGGCTCTTATACTTACTGCTCTATTGTAGCCATTGGTGGGGAATGTCAACTCTTTCTGGGCAGTCCATTCTATTTCTGAAAAGTTCTAGCTATTTGAATATGGTACCTTGAATCTCTCTCACTCTAACTCAACCATATATCGTGGGTCTTGTTACATCTTATTTATGCTAAGCAAACCCAGTTTTTGTTGAATTGTTAGTCATGTTACAGGATTTCCCTATCCTCATCACCTAATGGACATGTTTTAACTCCTTGACTTTTAAATGGTTCTGACTACAACCCCAATAAAGAATACATTTTATATTCCAACTCAGTACACTTATACATATATATACATGTACTCTATAGTTTTAATACATATACATAACTGAAACAAAAATTTCATAAGACAGCATATTTTTACACTGACATTTTCTGCCCTTTTCCATTTTTAAAAAATGCTGGTGTTACCTATTAAATTGATTTTATCACTCCCAGAGGGATTTCAGCCTGAAGTTTAGAAAACACTGTTCTAGTTTGTTTGTGCTGCAGAACTAAAAATAAACAGTTTCCAAAAGCTGAATGTTAGGATAATTGTTGCTAAAACAGATTTTATCTATATCATCTCAAAGAGAATATTCTGATGGTGGTTATTAAGTAAAACTTAACAAGATTATCAAGTTCTTGTTAGTGAATACAGTAAAACTAACATATATGCAACTTTTATTTTTATCCTTAGGTGGCGACAGAAAAGGTTGCAGAAAAGCTGAGTTCTACTCTCTCATGGGTGAAGAACACAGTATCACATACAGTCAGTCAAATGGCCAGTCAGGTGGCAAGTCCATCTACTTCGTTACACACTACATCCTCCTCTACCACACTATCAACACCAGCCCTTTCACCATCTTCCCCATCACAGTTGAGTCCAGACGACTTAGAACTCCTGGCTAAACTGGAGGAACAAAATAGGTGAGTAAGGTTGCTTGGCTTTTCTCTCTCCAATTGTCATACAAACTCAACCATTCATATGGTTGAATATATGCCATATTCAAAATTTTTTTAATTTAATTAATCTATTTATTCTTTCTCCCAAAGCCCCAGTAGATAGTTGTATGTCATAGCTGCACATCCTTCTAGTTGCTGTATGTGGGACGCGGCCTCAGCATGGCCGGAGAAGC